TAATTGTTAGAAAGAAATTTTAAACATTTAGCTTTGTTTTAAATTACTGACAGCAATGCTTACATAGCTACCGATACATATTTAAATATATCTCTTCCATATCTAATACTGATAAATGCTTTTTCACTCTTATGCAAGCAAACTTAACATGCCAGTTTTGCAGTCGTTGATGGAGAATTCCGAGTTTGCTATATTTAGCTACCTTCTTGAAAACTACTTTGATTTACTCTAAACTACTGTGAACTTTAAATCCAATAAGAAGGGACTTTAAATTATTTTTTAAAAATTGACTTTTACAATAACCCAAGCAAAATTTATCAGTCAATTCCCTTGGTGTTTATTCTGCTGTAAAACTCAAACATAAAATCTAGCCTTAAAAATTTCAAGTACACATGTATTTATGTATTAATTGATATTATTTTCAAGCTTTAAGTTATTTGCTTACTTAATTCTGTTTTGATCAGTAATTGAAGTTATTAATTTTTGCTTTAGTTGTTTAAAGTTGGTTGTAAGTTTAAACTGTAACTTTTTGTAAACATTAAATTTAGGTTGGTTGCTTTAATACTCTTCTTAAGTTGAAGTTGTTTAATTTTAATTTGAGTTTAGGGACTTAAGTTTACTTGGTTTTTGTATTTTTTGTTTTGACCCTTAAGGTTGTTTAACTTTTAACTTTAATTATTTTAAAGCCTTGCAGCTGCACTTTTGGTGTGTTAAATCTTTTTTAAAATTTTATTTGAGGTAACTTAATTTTTACCCCTCTTTCTATTAAAGTTTATTGAATTCATATTTTCTGACTGGTGGTAAGGTAAACCAATAGTAATTGAAACTCAATTTGAACAATGAGTGTGTATACTTAATTTCTGTTGAAGAAACAATTTATATCGTGCTGACATTTTTAATGAATTTAATTGTTATGTAACAGTTTAATTTTTAATGTCCTAAGTTCATTTATTGAGTTGAAAAACTATTCACTGGTTATGTAATTTTCCCACCCAAACCCGTTGGCTTGGAATTAATTCTCAGAACCCCTGATTTGGAGTTTTCTGCACCCCAAAATTCTTTTGCCAAGCATTTTAACACATGTCTGATGTCTTCACAACATGTTCTGATGACCGCACTACCTGCAGTATTTGCATAACCAGAACCCCGTTTGCTGTGACATCTCTAGCGGGGAAATGTTCTACAGAGAGTTTGTTTATGAGAGTGAAAAGTCATTGGATAGGATGCTCGCAATGTTGGAGCTGCACCTTGAAATGAGGCTAGTGTTCCCCCCTTTCCATCAGCATAGAGGAGGTGGACCCAGCACAGTAACCTTGAAGGCTGAATCGCTGAAGTACGTCGTTCACCAGATTCTTGCAGTTGGGAAACCCCTTCCTGTTAAGATATCTTTGCTTAAGGTTGCTGTGCTTGGCATTCTTCTGGTCATCATGCTTTGCCAATTTTTCAAGTTCTCGCCGGGTACTAAAGTTGCTGCACAGAGGAGACAGGGAGGAGAAAAGAGCAAAAACAAGAAGGATCGCAGCGTGATTGTCACCGAATCTATTTTAGAAGTCAAAAAATTTCCTAACAAAGATGAGAATTATGAAACGGCTGCTGAATGTGAAAAGCAGAGCCTTGGAGGATAAAGCACTAGATCCAACAGGAAAAAAGACCCCTGCGCTGCTGAAGGTTTAATTTTTTGCCGAAATTAGAATGACGGTTTGGGACCAGCAGCCCAGGAGTCTGGCTGAAGGAAATTGCAGAATGGCTGAGTTCCAGGCATCTGCCTCGGGACCAGCATTTAACTAATATTCTCTTATTTTTCTTCCCGGTATTGTACCCTACAACTGCAGTATGAAATATTAGAATGTAAAGAATGCCAGTGTACATTCAGAGGGGCCCTCTCCCATAATTTTAGAATGTTAAATCATTATAAGGTATGTGCCTGTTTATTTCAATATGGCAGCCAAAAATGTTAACGTTGATGACCGCAACCACCCAAATTAAACAAATTGTAACTGTAAACCTTTAATGTCTCTAAATAAACGTAAGAATAATTTACTTTTGTATTGTTTAATTTTAGTTATTTTACACTGGACCTTAGTCATAGAATGGGTTTAAATTGTTCTATTTTCCACAACGCAACAGTTTGATTATATATTGTCTGGTTATAATGATATATGTTCACCTTGATTACTCTTGTTTAAAATGTTTACTTATGTTTGCACATATTCACACATTTACCTACTACAATATCATTAATAACATGAAGTTTCAATTATACAGTAATGATGTTTAGTAGTACCTATTGCATATGACTATATGTTTATAATTGTTCTATACTTAATAATATATTACAGTATGTACATAAATATGCAAGTCTAAAAGAATGTACATATTATTGCATGAATACAATTCTGTGCTTTTAAAATGCAAATTCTCAGTGGATTTTGCACTGTTTAATAAAGCATACACAGGCAATATGCTTGGGAGAGTAAACGATTCATAAAAAAATAAACTATTTAAAATGCCAAATGACATATGCATATCAAACATTGGGTTTGTGTATAAGTTTGATAGAGGTAGTATTGTAATACCTTTAAAAGAAAGGTTAAAAGACTGCATTCTGCAAAGGTTTTGTATGTGTATGGTGAAATATTCATCCAAGTTTACATGGAGCATGCAGATGATGACAACATATGTAGCTGCTGTCTTTGGAAACTCAGGGAAGGTGACAAACTGTACAGACCAACCAAATTCTGGACACCCAATGGTGGTGTCTGAGCAAATTCTTGCCAAAGCCGTATCAAATGTTCCTCCATATCCAACTCTTGAGGAATTAATGGAAACGCTATCAGCAAAAAGAACAGGTTAAAGAGAAATGCACACATTTTGATTCATCACAAAGCTGCATCAGTGGATTTCACATCAATGGGAGGCGAGAACCAGTACCAGTCTTTCATTGCTTTCTTGTTTCTCAAATGAGTACTCTACTGGAATTTCAAACTTCAAAATTATATTTTTGCATAAGCACAGCCTGCTCCATCCACTTTAAAAGAAAGACTGCATTCTGCAAAGGTTTTGTATGTGTATGGTGAAAGACGAGAGGAAAAATCACACAGGAGTTATTCCCACATAATTAAATCATGAATGCTGACATGTACTGCTAAAAGCTGGACAGACTGAAGCAAAAATTTATATAAGCAGCCAGCATGTGTCAGTCACGAATGCGTTACCTTTCAACATAATAACACTAGATTTCATAGTACTTTAATCAGTCAGAAAAAAAAAAAAAAAAAAAAAAAAAAAACTACTACTATGGTTAGAAGTTAACTAAGCCGGCATATTTCCCAGACCTTACTTCTTCAGAATACCATCCTTTACAATGATTACAAAATTCCTTGTCCCTTAAAATTTTGATGATAGACAAGATAAGAAAACAGCAGTACAACTTTTTTTACTCAAAATCAAAAGATTTTTAACAACTAGGTATTAACTAATTACATGGCAGATGGCAAAAAGAAATGGTGGTAAATATATGAATACATAAGTATTCTATTTTCTTTTTCATTTTCAAAAGGGTGGAACTTTCAAAAGGGTGCACACACCTAATATCTTAAAAATATGTTTTATTAAACTGAATACTAATAAGAAAAAGCAAATTACATCTAATGTAAAAGACACTTTCAAAGTCAAAATTAATTTGACTTTGAAAGCTATTCACTAGTGTTAAAATTTAGAAATAACCAATGAGTATTAGATTCTGTATTCTTCATTTTTATATATTAAAGCTACTGACACAAAAAAATCTTAAAAATGAAACTTTCATTAATAGAGTAAAAGGAAATATATTTTCTGGTCTCAGTAAGACAAAAACAAATCTAAATTGAAATGAAGTAAATGATTATAACTTACCAATTAGCCTTGAAGTATTTGGTTATAGTTGAGCAGTGTCAGTATAAAGGCAGGTAGCTGACAGTACATCTTAGGGAAAGAAACTGCAGTGCTAGTCTCAGGGAATTTATTAAATGTAATATAGTTATAAAAAGATAAAGTAATAAAAGTTGAAAATAATGAGGTTAATAAATTAGTACATTAAAAATGATTAACTGGATTCTTGCTTTTTATTGCACACATTTGCAAATGATTAAAAAAATAAGAACTATAGAACAGTTCAAAAGTTTATTATTTTTGTAAATATAATTTTGACCCCTTTATAATAAAAATTATTTACATATCAATGTGTTTACATATTTCAGAGGCAAAATTTCATGCAGATGATAGATTATGTTATAATGATAATTCATAAAATGTATAAAGAAATGGATTAAGTTACATACATATAAAACGCAAATATTTTACAAAGCACTTAACATATCCATCAGTAAAAAATGACTAGAACAAACACAGGATGAAGAAAATGCAACGTAATGCATATTTTTAAGCACAGCACAACCAAGAATGCCACAATACACAATGCTTTATGTAAGTAGTATATTTTGAGCTAAATTTTCCAACAGTTAGGACTAGAAAAATAAAAGTGTATTCTTTATTTATTATTTAATTTTATTACTTTGTACAATGAACTGGACTATACCTGTGACTTGGTTATTATACTGGGACGATGCCTTATCACATTTTCTTTTACACAAAACTACAACATTATGCATGCAACATTCTGTTTATAGGATTAAAACAAAATCATATAATGAATTCTAACGTTTTGCTTTCAATTAATGAGAAAGATATGTAACAGTATATTTAATAGTGAAAAACTTTAAAACTGGCTTATAAATTTGACACTTGCTATTAAATGAGAATTATGAATATTTTCATCACATGTTCTGAGATGACAAAACATATGAATAGATTACACTTCTAACAGACAGAAAATTTCCACTGCATATGAATATTTTTAGAATAGTTTTGTTTTAGACATCTATATCTGGTTATTTTGGATGGATGGAAGACTAGAAGCAAAAATTTGTATGTCAGGCAGGCTCTTGGAATCAGCTACTTACAGCAATAAGTGCAATACCAGCAGACTTCAAAGACGATTTCGGTTTAAAGTGCATTGTAATTTCCCTAGAGACAGCAGACTGCATGTCTGTGTCATGAGCAATATCGGCCTACAAAATAAATATATAAATAAAAAAATGTACAGTATATAAAGATATATAGTTGTTACACATGGCTTTATTTGAAAGATCAATCCAAGCATAAACAACAGCTCAAGTATCACACATTGAACAATGATAAATAACAAAAAAACATACATTAATAAAGTAAGAATCAGAATAAATGAACATGGGAACAAAAGTAAAAAGTTAAAAATTTACACAACAAGGAATAGAACTTAGATGTAGTCATTACAAGGAGTTCATGAAAGCTCTGGCATTCCAATATAGTTTACTTATCTCATTAAGTTTTTGAGACTCTTTATTTAGCTGTGGGCATATAAGATGCTCTGCATTCACGATGACCGAATTGCAAATTTAGCATATTAGATGGAAAGATCCCAATTTTATTAAGATAGTTTACTTATCTCATTAAGTTTTTGAGACTCTTTATTTAGCTGTGGGCATATAAGATGCTCTGCATTCATGATGACCGAATTGCAAATTTAGCATATACTAGATGGAAAGATCCCAATTTTATTAAGATGATGTGGCATACAATCGTGACCTGCTTGCAGTCTGAAGTTTGCCACAGCCTCTTTAGATATTTGTTTTATTAAACTGAACACCAATAAAAAAAGCAAATTACATAATAAAGTAAAAGACACTGAAATTTTGACTTTGAAAGCTATACACTAGTGTTAAAATTTACAAATAAACAATGTATCAACTAAAATAAAATAAAATACAATTACAAATAAACAATGTATTTCATTAGTGTTAAAATTTACATGTAAACAATGTATCAACTAAAATAAAATAGAATACAATTGCAAATAAACAATGTATTTCACTAGTGTTAAAATTTACAAATAAACAACGTATTTTTATATACTCTATTAGATATATAACAATATTCTTAAAAAAAATTATGTTCAAAATTTTTATCACGGGTTATCATCACCTAAACTATGTATTTCACCATACTGCTTCAAACAAAACTGTTTAGTTAATTTACATGACATTGAATTCTAAAAATAACACAAAAACAGTATCTTAAGAGTAGAAGACTTTTCTCAATTTAAATGTAAACTCCTGAATTACTATACTGAAGACACATACATTACATATAACTTCATTACACTTAGCCTTTATGATCAGTTATAGTCCATAAACTATACACTATGGATAGTAAAGCAATCACCACAGTTCTGGTTTTGAAATGTATCACGTAAATATATCAGACAAATATCCATGGTGAAAATTATTAGTTTGTCATTTTTAAGGGGATATGGAAATTCCATAATTAAAATATTAGTGAATTGGGATTTCCTGGAAAATGTAATGATCAATGCCAATGAAGACACCTTGATGTGCAATTCAGAAAACATGGTGGAGCATGCAAAGCAAAAGACAAATTCAATATTTGATAAAAAGGTAAATTATCATCCCATCATCTAAGATGCTTGCTTGTTTAATTGTTAATGTCCAAGTATGTTAACCTCTCCTTTAAAACCTAGTTTTGTTAGTGTTGGAAGAAAAGCAAATCTAAAAGAAAGCATTATCTTTTTAATGGGAAAGGAAAAAAAAAAAAAAAAAAAAAAAAAAAAAAAAACCACGAATTCAGAACTATTATACTAATTATTCGTATGAAATGAGGAGTCAGACTTACTATAATGCTGCAATATTACAAAAAGTCTGACTCCTCATTTTGTCTTTACTGATTAACATTCACAGAAATAAAATCATATTACTTACAAGGACCCAAGGATGCTCAAGTACATCAGCTGCAGAATATCTGTCATCTGGATTCACTTGGAGCATCATTGCTATTAATTCCTGAAATTAAAGTGACTACTTCAGTTTAAAAATTCCAATAATATTTATTTTCATGATCTACAGCATTAAATCAGAAAAGAATATTCACCATTATTTCAAGATTTAAACTTTTCATTTATTTACTGTTTAGTGCAATTCAATAACAGTGTAAGAGAAAAGTGTTAATGAAACTATGTTGGAAAAATACTGCACTATAGGAACTCTATTTTCACAGATGAAATCCAAATTTAATATTTGAAAGTATACACAAACAAGACACAAACAATTTAGTTACTCAAAATTTAGCTATAAGAGCAAAACTGGAAACCGGTACAAGAATGTAAAAGTAAGAAAATGACAGCATACAAAATCCTTTGATCATGTATAAAAGTATGAAGATATAAATCAAAGGTATGAAGATTTCATCACAAAAATAATGAATATACGCATGAGAAAACATTCTACCTTGGCAGAATCAGAAATATCATCCCAAAATGGCCTAGTGAATTCATAGTTTCCAGCAAGTATTTGGTCAAACAGCTCTACTTGGTCATTAGTTTGACTAAAGAAAGAAATGAGAATAAAAAATAATTACAACAAAACAATAATAAATTATAATCATTATAGTAAAAATTATAATGATAACAAAATTTATTTGCAGTGAAGATTATTTAAACATCTCATATTAATTACATAACAGGACAGAAATATTTCTTGAAATAGCCATAAAAATAATTTATTCAAATAAGAAATACATAAACTGGTCAGCTTAATTTTTATCTCTTAATCTGATTCAGCTACGAATCACAATACACAGTGAATGTGTTGCTCGCTGGAGGGCTACAAATCTAAGTATGAGAACAGCTGAAGTAAACTAACACAACTTTATGGCTTTTTATTACTTTTATTGAACTAGTTATTTACACAATTTCAAAATGGGCATATAATGTGAAATAAACAGGATTAACAGACAATAAAAACTTTACAAGTAGATCATTCCTAACATAATACATACAGTTAAAAGTCGTTAATCCGGACTCATTGGGACTTCGGCGATTCCGGATTATAGATCATGTTTAAATCTGGTAAGATGGCATGCAGAAATTACAAAATTAAAAATATGAAACCGTAATTTATGAAATAAAGAACAATTATGATCTAAAGGGTATCAAAATTTACAAAAAGAAAAAGCTTAATATTTATTTGTTTACTTTATTAAACATTTCTTTCAATGTAAGTTGTTTAAGTTGCTTCGTTTCATGTGATAATACCTTCTCTTTAATTCTATTAAAGAGACATAATTTCTTGTTCAGTTACAAAGTTCCGCTGTTCAAGTCCTATAATTGCTGTGTCGAGAATACCGACTAATTAATTTGTCAATAGAAATTTTTTCGTTTTCAATAACATCTGTGTCACTTTCTTCGCTATCGGAAGCGAATTATAATGACGAGGAATTTGATTTAAATCATATCAAAGACAGAGTACATCGAGATAAAATACTACATTTAGTAAGGAATTATAAGCCAAATAAAATAAAAACATCTGCCCTGAAGATAAGGATAGTGCTGACAGATCAACTTCCAATTCATCGTGCGCCGAGGCGTCCTTCCCTCTCCCGCCGCAGAGCAGTGTGAAATTGATAAACAGATTTCGGATTTCGAAGCATACTTTCGCTTTGTAGATCCTTTACATATTAGTAAATATATATTGGAAATTCTATTTGACATAATCGAAAGTTCAAGCTTACTTTTATAAAATTGCTTTAACAGTCTGCAAAAAATAATAAGCCGGATCCAATTCGAAGAATAAGGAACAACGCAATTTGCAACATTAACTGAATTAGATAATTTTAGCTTAGCTTATACCGTCTGTTATACATTAAATGCGCATGCGTAAACGTATTATGCGCATGCGCACATACATATTCACAGCCGTAAAGGTCTTATGCACGTGCAAGCGCGACACATGCACAGAAAGTTTGTAGCTTTGAGGTCCGGATTATAGATCATTCCCGATTATGGGTGTCCGAATTAACGACTTTTGACTGTATTAATTACCCCTACTAGAGAAATTTAATTTTTTATTTTTTAAATCTACAGTCACACTTTTAATTTATATGCAAATTTCATGAGACTATTTCTTGCTCAAAACTACAGTTCCCTTAAAATAAAAGTTTTTGAATTAATACCCAGTGTTTATCATTCAAGAAGTTCAAAGTGCTACTAATGATATGCAATGTGTTACAGTTGATTGGCAATTCATCAGTGATGTCAACGCAAAGAGGACAAAATGTGAATACTGCGAAGACATAAAAGTTTTTATGTCCTCCCCTTTGCCTACAAACAGCCAAACAGTAAAGCCACTGAATACTAGTAGTTTAGCATGTATTTGATTCCAAGCGAATGGGCAGGCTGAATGTTTGATTTTTGTTGTTTCTCTATGTATAACATGGACACAAGTAAGTTTTCCCAAGGAAATCCTCAACAAAGGCATCCCTCCTCTTAAGGAGATAGCCTTCACATGCTTTGCCATAATCAAATAAACCAATTATTTCTAACATTTTTTCCTAAACCACTATTAGTTATTATATGATGAAATGTGATACCTGACACATATTCAATGCTGCAATATAATTAGAATTTTTTAAATCTTTTTTTATTGCAGTTAGCAGGTGAGAAAGCTTTTTTTTTTTTTTTTTTTTTACAAAAAACAGATTAGAACAGAAATAATGCACTTGTTTATTTTCCCCCAGTTTAAATACTATTTATTTAATAAGCTTTTTTCCCTCAAAGAGCTGATGTAAAAAAACAAATGAAATTTTCTAGAAATACAATGTTTTCACATACAAATTGTGCACATTTACATTAATGCTGCATGCACCTATAAATTACACAATTTGTTAGGAAAAACACAATGCTTAATGAGTTAATTGCATTTACATGAGTAGGGCAAAGCAGCTATCTGCCTAGTATATCAGTTATGGGAGACAATGTAACAAGCACTGCTCACTAAATATTCAATAATCACTGCAGACATATAACACTTTGCATATACAAGGTAACCAAAAAGTTCTTGCTGTTTCTGATATGACATTGGAAGATTGAATGCCAACGTAAAAAGTCACCAAACCTGACAAGGAAGTGGTTAGGATGGGATTCTGAACACTGACCAAGAATATAAAAGCGTGCTGCATCGATACTTTAAACATAACTCACACAGCGATTGATTGAAATGGATGCAGCAGAGGTGCTCGTTTGGAGTTGTTTGCTGTATGAATTTAAAATGGGCTTAACAGCAGAATTAAGTTGCTGAATTTGCCAGGCCTTTGGGGATGATGCCATTAACGAATGAACCACTAGACAATGGTTCCAGAAGTTCAGGTCAGGGGATATATCTTTTAGTGATGCACCACAAAGCGGTCGGCCACACACTACAGCGATCGACAATGAGGCCCTGAGAGCAGCCATAGAGAGTGATGTAGCCAAACCTGTGGTGAGCTTGCTGTACACTTTCAGGTACCTGATGAAATGATCAGACTCCATTTGCACCACATAGGAAAGGCATACAAGTTGAGCAAGTGGGTATCCCACTCACTGTCCGATGCAAACAAGCAACAACGTGTCACTGCCCATTTGTTATTGCTTAGTCGGCACTGCAATGGATCCATATTTAATCGAGTACTCACCAGCTACAAAAAGTGGGTCCAGTTTGACACACCCAGCTGTTCCAGACATTGGTTGTCACCACAGGACCCTCTGCCACACACTGCGAAACCTTCTCTCCACCCATGCAAAATCATGCTCGTGTCTGGTGGACTAGTTACTAAGTGATGCACTATGAGCTCCAGCCAGTAGGACAAACCATAATGACAGGCCTGTATTCGCAGCAGTCGGAACATGTGCATCAGGCACTGATGCATGAAGAGCCAGCATTGGTCAATCGTAGGGGTGTACTCATCCTCTATGACAATAATACGAGGCCGCATGTGGCTCGGGAGGCCAGAGACACCATCCAGCGACTATGCTGGGTGACACTACCCCATATACGATACTTCCCAGACCTCGCGCCAACAGACTACCATCTTTTCCATTCTTTGGACGACCATCTTCGTGGGAAACCTTTCCATAACTGCTAGACCTCGAAAAGGCTCTCACTGACTTCTTTGCATCCAAGAATCCCAAGTTTTACTGTGATGGATCGCAAGCTATCTACTCATTGGCAAAAAGGCACTAGATGCCAGTGGGGATTACTTTGAGGACTAGTGGCAATTATTATTTGTTTTCTGAATTTTCTTTCTGACTCTCCAAAATATCAAGAACTTTTTTTTTTACCTTGTGATATGTAAACAAACAAAAGGAAATGTTTCCACTTTACACTAATTATAATATTACTATTGTGTAATGCTTTACAGTAAATAGAGTCATTAGGTTGCATTTTATCAGCAAACTGCTCTAGGATATCAAGCCATATAGCTACAGACACATCTTTTATTCTAGTAACATCGCAATGAACTATGATAGTTTAGAAGTAGGATGGTTTGGTTTATCTAATTATGATAAAGCGTGCGAAGGCTGTCTGCTTAAGAGTAGGGGTACCATCCATCTTACAATTGGGGAAACACATGAACATGTAGCCAGCCCATTTGCCTGAAACTGAACCAAACTACCAGTGTTCAACAACTTTACCACTGGGCTCCTGGAATGAAATGCTTATACATGTATGAAATTGACAGAGTATTAATATAATATTTCTCATTTACTAAACATTAATATACACTCTTAGACAAAAAAAAAAAACTACGCACCATGACTCACTGAGAAGATATAAAGCAAATTGGACCCAATTCATATGCATACAGGTTTCGACGGAAAATGCAAAATTTTACATTTTGGCTACCAATGAATGAACGGTTGTTGCTACAGTGCATCTGATATGCGCAACTGGCAGGATATTTAAGAGGAGAAATTACGATTCCAGGTCATAAATTCTTCATGAATTTCATTCCCTGTACTCTGGTAGACAGTAACTATGCCTCGCATACAGGTGCGCGAACGATATGCGCAAATGTCAGAATTTGAGAGAGGTCATGTAATTGCGCTCAAAGAAGCTGGTTGGTCTTATCGGCGAATAACTCAACTTTTGAGCAGGAGCGATGCCATTATTAGACGATGTTGGCAGGAATGGGTGAACCATGGCCGCACACAGCGTCAAGAAGGAAGTGGTAGGCCTAGAGAAACGACAGAACATGAAGTCAGAGCGGCACTCACAGCCCCAGATGCATCATTATCATCGAGAATTGTACGTGAAACTAGTGCTTCAGTGACTGCAAGGACCATTCATAGATGGCTCCCAGAAAGGGGGCTGAAGTCATGACACTATTGACCTCTGTTAACGTCAAGCCTGTTTGCAGTGGTGTCGGGCTCATTCGCACTGGAATGTCACTGACTGCAGTAGAATAGTCTTCAGTCATGAGTCCCGCTTTGGACTGAGCTGCGATGACCAGCGAAGGCGAGTCTGGAGATGCCCCAGACAGCGGTGTGATACCAACGTCACTGTCTTCCG